GCTCCAGAAACACTGCGGGCCTTTGTCGTTACTTTATGTAACGTATATCGTTGTCGCGTCGGGGATATACCTGCACCTATATTATAATATATATCTCATGTACAGGTATTGTCGCACAGCCTATTGTCATTAGGCGATGGCACAAATGATGCGACTTATTTTTTTTCTCTCCCTTTGTCTTTTCTCCGCTATGAATAGATATACTTATTGATGGTAATAATAATAATGATAATAAACTTTCATCGGAAACGTAGCTAGGAAAAAAAAAAAAAAAAAAAAAAAAAAAAGGTATTTTTCCGGACGTTTGGACAAATCTTTATTCCCAAAACCCACGCGAATGAATTTCATGGCTTTTCAAGGATCTTCATGCTGGTTATATACTTCCACTTGGAAGTGCCCTTATTCTCTCTTTGGCAAGTGTTTCTCGAGACTTGGCCCTCGTTAAGTGCCTCGTTAACGGCAGACCGGCAGAGCGAGACTTTGCGAGCTATATTTATCGCTATATACTGGCGTCGTTAAGAAACTCGAGCTCGCCATTTTTTCCATCTATACATTCGTATATACGATACCTTATTGCCGTTGAATATTTTTACCAACAATTTTTCCGAGCTGCTGGCTTTTTAGCTTATAAGTGCGTGGAACCTACTGTATATCGTAATATGACATAAGTCGAATCGACCTTCGTTGTACCTATATCCCAGAATGCGAAATCCTATGTAGTCTTAATGGTACACTTGAACGGGAAAAAACGAGTGGAAATTGATTTGGAAAAAAAAAAAAAAAGTTTTAAATACCACATGTAGCGACGTCTATACATAGTATGCCCCATAAAAGGGCACAAAGATGTATATATATATACACGAATGTATGGATGGATGCGAGTTCATCGATGTTACGTCTGTACAAGCTGTGACTATAAGTAGTACGTAATACACCCGCGTTAATCGATCGCCGCTACGGTAACCCCCTTGATCCATTAACTCTCTTATACCATCAGGGTGTTGGTAATTATTCATCCCTCTCATAAACATTGCAACATTTCATGTCACATATAAATACTTCCTTTCGATAGCACGTATGTGTGTAGGTACATGTATCGCTTCGGCTTTAATTTATTGGACATCTCGTTGTCTGCGCTAAAATTTTAATGGGGGCTGCTACTTTCAAGTAGGCATATATTCGTAATTACGATCGAGCGCAATGCTGATTCATGTTTTAGTGGAAAAACCGTTCAAATGTAAAGGCATACTATGTACAGATAGTTTTACGAATGGCATGAGGCTCGACAATGTTGTCGTAAGGTATAGGTATATGAATATAATACAATTGTTATTTCGAGTTGAATGCCATTGAAGTTTATCATTCAACGATGAGATCAACCACAACTTTATCGCATGATGGATAAAAATTGTGCCCCAAAGTGATGGAGCTTGTTGTTTTTTGTATACATGAAAATATATGGGTCGATGATACCTTTTTCACCTGCAGTCGTTGATCGCTATATGCACGATCATTGGCCGAAATTGACCCCTTGGCCCCTTACAGGTACACGCTTATGTATATATGTATATTTTTATACTTGATGATTTTGCCTTCACAGAATTGTTACTATTTATTTATAGAAGGTAGGTGGAGTGTGGACCAACAACAGCTCTGGTACTGTTATCCGCGGGCCAAAGTAGCGATGGACATTTCAATTGCTCAATGAAGATTCCTGGCAGGCTGCCTATACGAGGTGCGACGATACCCGTAGGTACCGTAGGTGTATAGTTATAAACTCATTATATTTTTGGACTCGTCGACTCCCCTCCGGAGGGTCCTCCATTTGGGGCCCAATTAAAAAGGCCTCTAACGAGCTTTCAAAGTTAGGTAAAGGCTCGCTCGTGCCAGACTATCTTTATCAATCACGCATCCTCGCGGCGCTTTTTTTAAACGTATACGTGAGAATGACGAGGCCTAATTGTCTCCGTTTACGCGTAATTTAGCGAAATTTTTAGTTCCTTTGATGTCACATGTGTATCAATTTCAAAAGTATACGGACAAAGAGTTTGAGGCGAAACTATTTGTCTTACCTTTTAGTATAGAAAAAACAAATTGAAAATAAAGTTCTCCACATTGCTGCACGGATATTTGAGTTTTTAAGAGACATAGCTCATTAAAATTACATTTCATTGGGGTTACTTTTTGACTCTTGGAACTTTACATGCATATGCAGTATGGAATATAGCTGAAAGAGTAATGAGTCGGAGTAAAACGTACAGAGAAGAAATCCAAAGACGAACGAGCCAAGTATACTCCATTGGTATATGTATCCTATTATATCCCCGACACATATGCCTCTTTGTTAACTTTCGTTAATTATTCCTTCTGGTATACCCACCTTGTATTGTTAATAACTGTTTATTTACACCGAATGGCTATATACTACAACTTATTCGAGTTGGGCCTGTTCTTAATTGATTCGTCATGCCAAATCCAAAAAAATTCCTAAGATTTGATGTGATACGCAGGTAAATTTATTTTTCGCCCCGGTAAGCTTAACAATTCAATTTGGTTGGTACATGAATGCGAAAACTCGAGTAGAGTATGTATAAACAAGTGGCGAGAGACACGAGGCTCCGATACACTTAATATTTCACGCCGTTGTATAATGATCGTGGTTTATTCAAAATCGAAGCTACTTTGGAACATCCGCAGTTTAATAAACAATTCGGTTAAATATATTACGATTTCGCGGTAGTCGATATCGCTTTAGGCGAATAGGTACTCAGTTGAATTATTTAATTTTATTGCCACGACGAATCAACGAAAGGAAATAAACGTAAATTATTCTCGTATAACGTTTTCGTAAAAAAAAAAAAAAAATTCGATTGATGTAATATATCATATAAACGTATGTAATGCATCTGTCGACGCAACGGTTTTTTTGTTTATCAAAGGTATACATTGGACACGTCGATAACGCTCAGTTTGCATGTTGTGCTCGTCGATGACGAGGGCCGATTACAGTGATTTAAAAAAAAACTCCCTGATGCGCTTCGAACGAAATTTGGAAAGCTCGACGTTTTAAAAGTTGGGCTTGAAAATTACTCCATAATCCTATTTCAATTATGCCAGACTACAACCCCCCAAGACTCATTCAAGCGTTAACGAGCTTTTGTGCAGTGTGTATAAATATTCCGGTCTTTGTTACCGATGCGTATAGGGTATGGATTATTTTTATTTGGTGTCACGTTTGCGAAGCGAAAAGAAAAAAAAAAAAAACGACGAGTCATTTGCATGAAATCGATGGTGAATTGATATACATTGGAGCAGTGCACCAAAATAAATGGTCAATTTTTAACGTGTTTCTTTGGGTTAGTGTCAAAATGATAAAGAGCAAAAAAAGTACATTAGAGATACAAGAAAGAAAGAAAAAAAAAAAAAAAAAAAAAAAAAAAAAAGGTATTTTTCCGGACGTTTGGACAAATCTTTATTCCCAAAACCCACGCGAATGAATTTCATGGCTTTTCAAGGATCTTCATGCTGGTTATATACTTCCACTTGGAAGTGCCCTTATTCTCTCTTTGGCAAGTNAAAAACCGTATAGACCAGGACACGTGTCCTCTGTATAAATGTACGCTTAATTGCACGTTTTGAAAATCGTGAAAAAAAAAAAAAAAAAAAAAAAAATCACCAATGCATTTTACAGCCATTTACGCACGGATGCGTCGTGCGTTTGCGTAAAAAAAAAAAAAAAAAAAAAAATTTTTAGGGAAAAGAAAGGAGGAAAAAAAAAAAAAAAAAAAAAAAAAAAAAAAAAAAAAAAAAAAACTTGTTTGAAAACAAGCCACACACCACACGAGGGGAGTTTCGATGGGACCAACCCTCCAACCACGATGTTGTCTCAAAGTCAAAAGAGAAAAAAAGAAACTTTCTTCCAAAAGGTTCAGAGGGCGAAAAGCCGAAGCAACAAGAGAAAGACAAAAACACAGATGGGTATACGCGGGATGTACATGCGCATATAGGAAAAGAGTAAAGAGAGAGGAAGCCACCACCATTGTGCCTAATTGCGGCCGAGCGAGCACAATCAACCCACCCCCTCTCGTTACCCTCCACATCAGTCGGAGAGAGAGAGAGAGAGAAGCCGGTATACATATATATAATTATATCGTCATCGGCCAAGATGGCGATATTTCGCGTTCGGTCGCGAGGATTTGGCGAGCCCGCCTCTGCCACGGTCGCGGCCACCAATCCTGTGCCAAACCACGCCTTCCCCGCTACATCCTGCACTGCGCACACACACGTCTCGAGACCTCACAATGTATATATGTATACACTGCATCCCCGCGCTACGTAGCGATGGGGGCAAGGGTAGCCGAGTGTGAGCGTGCGGTGTACGTGTATACACTATACAGGCAGAGCAGGCCTCCCCACCCCCGGCGGCAGTTGTCTGGCGGGTTCGAAGCGCGCGTCATACACGAATGCCGGCTCCGCGTATAGGAGCCGCGAGCCGAGCGGTGCAGTCGGCCGACGGCTTGGCCCCGCTGCGCCTCGTCTCATCGATCGGGTGTACCTTTTTATCAATTTGGCTTTCTCCGTACAAGTTGTAACTAGGGTATGCTTTCTTTCTTTTTCTTTTTTTTTTTTTTTTTTTTTTTTTTTTTTTTTTTTTTTTTTTTTTTTTTTTCTTTCTTTCAAGCGCCCCCTGTGCGAGCGTGCCTTTGTGCGGGAAAATAATAACGCGCTGCTCGCTACGATCCGATGATATACCTGGTTTCAGTGGGACAGTGCTCGTGTGAATCATCATCATTTGTCAATCATATAATATACATAAATATACCATCAGTGCGGCTCGGTTGAGTTATAGTGAAATTGAAAGGGAAAACTGTTATCGTTGTGTGCGTTGGTAGGTTGCGAGAGAAATAAGAAAAACAAAGACTTTGATGACTCTCGCCGACTCCTCGACTCGACCAGCAGCAGCATCACCGGGACGCGCGCGATTCGACAGCGACACGAGGATGAAGGAGATGGAGACGACCGAGCTGCTGGACGTGGTCTCGGCCTCCGACGAGCTGGCCGAAACGATGAACCTCAAGGTCCAGCGCTCGAACCCGAAGCCCTTTACGATCGAGAGCCTCATCGGCGCGACTAACGCGTCCAGGGACCGGCAGCAGGAGCAGCTGTCTTGCAACAACGAGGAGCTGGATCGGCAGAGGGAGTTCCTTTACCAGCAGCACTGCCTCGCGACGGCCGGTGCCCTTCCAGGTAAGCCGAGTCGAAACTCTCGCTGCTCCTTATATCTTTGACTGCACCGGTTACCGTGTCTCAGGCTTCCCGGTGCCGCTGAGCTTGTACAGCGCGTGGCTCCAGCCGATGCGCGTCTACGCCGGCAGCTCGAGGCAGCTCCCCGGCTACCCTCCCGTCCAGCAACACCACCACTTTGCTCTGGCTCATCATCACCAGGACACGGCTTACCCGGGCAGTCAACAGCATCACCAGCACAGGGTCACCACGGCAGCGGCAGCTCGGTTGCTCGCGGCTGCGGCTGCGGCTTCCGGATACAGCGACGAGAGCGACGACGAGGGCAGCCTCTCGCCCGTCCACGACCTCTCAAAGTCCCAGCACGGTATGATGCACCCGCCACTACTCGTCCAATGTTTTCGATTTTTGTTATTCGAACGGCTTAGCTCCACGATACCATCGGTGGGTCTTTTGGATTATATTCCATGAGTGCATGAGATCTGACGCTTGCACCCACATGGGGACATCATTTCTCCGACCGGTGAAAAATGCCCGCATTTCTCCAAAGTTTAATATAATCCGTGCGTCTTCGAAGCTCATTTCGTTGATGACTGTGTGTGTATAATGTATGTGTAGCCGGTACAGGGAAATTCACTAAAACATCGGACTGATATTGATGAGTCTCGAGTCAACCTTTTTTTTTTTTTTTTCCTCTTGATCTTTCGTTAGCTTTGACGGACATTATACTTTTATGGAGTGTAAATTTTAGCTGCCGTTCTCGATGACGAGGTACTTATGGGTACATGTACACACTTCCGTGTAGGAAACCCGATAGTCCGATTGCACACTAGTCGAGTTGTAAGATTTCAATAGTACACCTAACGGATTTTTCTTCCTTGAAAATTGGAGTTTCCTCAATACAAATGTCCCACCTCGAGCGTGCGTGGATTTGAGGCAAAGTATGTGGCCGATCGCTTGTGATTTCACGATACGGCAGTGCGTCACTTCATTAATGGCTCGGTAATTTATTCCGTTTCTTCGGTCCTCCGTTGTTCTCTTTTTTCTTCCTTTTTTTTTTTTTTTTTTTTTTTACCACACAATACGCGACACGTTAAGAGCATTAATTATAAAGGCTTCTCCTCTTCGACTCCCAGCTATATGTACGCGAGGGTATATAGGTACAACGACCGAGAAAGACAGTTAGATCTTCTCGGGAGCGCCGTGAGTCATTAGATTATTGTTTTTTCCTCTTTTTGTCTCGGGGATCGAATTTAAATTTCGGCCAGGCAACTCGAGTCGAACACGGTTTCGCGAGTGTGAGCGAAATATAAATCGAGCACTTTTTCATCGGTACGGTGGTACAAGTATATAGGTATACGTGTACCCTTGAGAGAAACAAAAGTCGTGTGCAAATTACCGAAACGATAATAAGATTCCCCTAAGAGGATTTATTTACATGTATGTTACACCTCGAAATAGTGGGTATACATGGGCAAATAACGAAATGCGCGAAAGTTTTGTTTACGTATCTGTGTAGCCCACTGAGTTTACACAATACATTAATTTCCTGATTTTCAAAGAAACAAAAGCTACACATAAGGTATTAATAATTGGGGGATACGTTGGATAAAGCAATTTCTCCGCTCGAATGTGATTTTTTTTTTTAACTTTAATTGAGCAACCGAGGCAGACACGCGTCAGACGATGCAATAATATATACCTGTATATGGGTGCGTTCATAAGTATATAGGTATATGTATAATCCGCGGGGATAATATTGATTTCTCGCTCGTGTAGGAAAGACAATGACAACGAAATAGCGTCGATTAGAGTTTTTACTTAGCATACAAAGGACGTTATTTATATACGCCATACACTACTACCAGTATTTCACCATTAGCGCGCGACATTAGAATTTCATAGACGCGCTCAAACAATTAGTCTCGCCTCATCTCGAAAATGATATTCTCGGCTCGGCCGATGGCCAAATCATCCGACTACACGCCTATCAAACGTATAGCAAATCACGCTGATACATGAATATATAATATAACAACCGATGGCTTTTATTTTTTTCTCTCCGCATCGGCGAATGATCTCATGCTAATTTCGGTCTTGGACCAACGCGCGCGTGATCAATAAAAATTTCTCAAGATTAAATCATCTCGGGAGAAACGCGTATATAATTAATCAAACAAAAAACGGCTTGGTCATTGTCCCGGAAAGTTACGGTGTCGTATCCTCTGCAGTCCGCCCACCATATATGCGTATATACCACCGAAGTGTACAAAGCTCTCGAGTCAATTATGCAAAGCAGTGCGCCACCGTCACGCGGCTCGTTTAAAACAAACAAAAAAAAAATAAAGCCAAGCGACACCACAGCTAAGTAGTGGCGATAAAATTCCCGCGGCTCTGAAATTTTCATCGGAGGCGTTATACGCCCAGCGCGACGCCTGAATCCGTAATGAGCTGCGAGTATACCTTGGCACGGGTACACTCGATACGCGTCGTGTCGTTTGCTTTCGTGAGGATCGCGTCTTTAATTCGATATTTTCCCAGCTCCGTTTGGAATAGGACCTATTGTGTGTACCCACGTATCGCTCGCTTACAAATGAGCCCATTTTGCAATAGACGAATCACCGGTAGCTAAACCCACTACGGTAAACTATTCTTTTTTTTTTGTTATATGTTGTTGCGTACAGAGAGGATCCATCGATGTGATTGATAAAAAGAAATAAAGAAGTTCTGCTTTTGTGTACACGCTTTAACAAAATTGGTGATTGAAAAACAACAACTGAATCCAAAGAGTTGGGTATGCCAACATCATAATGTACACACCTACGCGTAGACAAGTTATATATTTCCCTTCGAGGTTGGATCGGCTTCTGTATTTTAATTGCTCATTGACGCGGACTCGCGTGCGCGTACGTGTACCTATATGTGGATTTATACGTACGCGCATAGTATAAAGCAAGGGGCGGTCCCTATTCCGGTTAATCTCGGGCGACGTGCCGCGAGTCCTCAATGCCGCCTCTGAACTATAGCCTGCGACTTCTGACGGCATTAGACGGCTTAGTTGATGCATGCGCGTTATAAAAATATAATTGCGCTCATGCAGTTGCAACGGTGATAAACTACGGCTGATTGATTTGGTGCACACGTATTTGTGTTTTTTGCCAATTGCGTTTTAAATCATTTGTACTTTTTGAAACGCCAAGAGGGTCAAGATCACTTAATAAAAGTATTTTAACAATGAACTTTGTGAACAATATATTTGAAGGCACAGAAGCTTTCTGAAACTTTTTTTTGCATAAATGATAAATGAAAAAAAAAACCAAAATATCAATGAGGTGTTTTACAAAATTTTTGGGATTCTTTGCTGTTTTAAATCCTTACAGTAAGGGAAATCGTTTTCCAAAGTTTCAAACGACAAGGTGTCCAGAAAAACTTACGGTCAGAGGCAAAAAGCTTATTTTGGGCGAAAAAAAGGAATACTAAAGACGTCGAATGTCGTTCAAGTGCCAATGTTGTAGTAAAAATACTTTTTAAAGATTCGGACTCGTGGAAATTGGAAATTGATGTTTACACAAATAAAAATAGATCCTCGATTTGATACCCGCAACATTGTTTTCCCGATCGAGCTTTGGACGTGCTTTATTTTTGCAATAGCAACGAAAGCTCCTTGATGGATTAAAAAATAGAGGGAAAAAACCAATAACACTACCCCCATCTTCATTTATAATGAAGCGGAGGTGACGATACGGGTACAAGGTATTACACGGACGATCTGCTCTTCTCGGAACGAGTGGGCAGTCGGTTCTCGCTTTATTTACGGATGCACTTCTATAAACGCGAGCCGTGCACCGTGTCGCTTTTAAAACGAACGTATTTTCGGACCTCCGATAAGCAAAGGGAAAAACAAATCAGTACCCACTACACACGGTATCGTCCATACCACTGGCTGTAGTACGCGTATTATATATACACGTTCATAAATAAATCCCAACTCCCCGAGTGTACGTGCACTTTAATTAAAAGGATGTCGCATCCAAACGTTGTCGATCGATCTGGAGAGCAATAATTATCCCGTGTGTGCCTCCGTGGCGCTAAAGTTAGAAATATCAGACTCGATACTTTATGTACGTGCGTGTATACCCATATGCATCAATCGAGCGAACGCAATCGTGTCGATCCAATTTTAGAAGTAAATTGTTTATGCTGAGCCAACCAACTCAAATACGACATGAAACGAGGGTTGGTGAAAGTTGTCAAGACCCATGCTATTATAATAATAATGGTGATGATAATAGTAGTAGTAAAAGTTAAAAAAAAAAAAAAACAACTATACCGATACACAATTGTACAAAAGCTCGAGCAATAGGCCGTGAAGAGTCAACGACAGCGCTTTCCAAAAAATGTATCAAAAAGGGGTTGGAAGAAGACAGGATTTAGAGATTCCTGGGTGCATGTAAACTGGAATTAGGAGTAGACAATGGTCTCACGAGATGCTCAGGCAGAGCTTTTGGTAATCTATAGCTGTATGGAGTTTATTGTCGAGTCTTACGGTATTCCCTTCGTTGATATTTTTAGTCTCGTTGATGTCCATTCGATTGCACGTACGTGTGCTGTAAACATATACTACTTACTTTTGCAAGCTTCACTTCTATTTTTTGTAGTACAACTTGTAGTTATACCAGACATCGCGCTCACGATCCAACCTGTGAGAGCGTCAATCGTAGAGTTACTTGTGCATTCATGAAAGTGGGAATACCCATAGCTTCGCAAAATCACCCATCGATAGCAACAATGAGCGCGAGTTGATCGAAAATCACTTATCGAGTGCACGCGAGCCGTGAGATAATTACTTCCGCCAAAGCTCCATCGAGTTGTTATACATACCTACCTGCACGTTCCTATAGTCGACGGGCTATACTGCAGCTGACGCTGATGCATTATAGAAGACCGTAGAAGCTGCACTTTCTCTCTGCCGAGCTGTATAATACATATACACGTTCTATTCGTGAAAATGGGTCATCGATTACTTGTAGTATATAATATAACAGCGATACGTATAGGTGTACGCATAAGTTATAATTTTTACCGCGTTTATGAGGAAAGTTTATAATTTGCTGTCGTTTTGTAGGTAATCGATTTTTCATTGCATTGTGTATAGTTCTGAAATAATAGAAATGAAAATTATAGGATATTGATTTGACAAAAAAGTGTCCCCCATAGTTTCGGAATGGCCGATCGATTTACTTGATTGCGTTTGCAACGAGTAATTAACATTCTGGCGCACAGCTGCAAAAACAGTATATACAATACAACATCCATAGTATCGCATATCATTCTATGCATAATTAATTGTCATCAGCGACTATAGCCGGCAAGCAATTAAATGCTATATATCCGCGCTCACTTATGCCCGATGCAACTTTTTATTGTAGGGTATGTACGAGTAAAACTTGGTGGCGCGCGTCTCTAAAATATGTATCCGTGCCGTAAGTCTCATTCCTCCGGTAACTCTGTATTCACCACTATCCTACATTTGTCATTGTTAGGTATACACTGACACTTTTATTGGCTCGAAAATTTATCTGTCGCAATAAACGCCAAGTAAATTTTACGTACCTATATTGTTATACTTTATCATGGCAGCAAACTTTTCCAGAAAACTACAACTACCTTATGAGATGAACTTTCTCGTTGAGTTAATTATTGCGTGAAAAAAAAAAAAAAAAAAAAATTAAATAAAATAAACAAAAAACACTTGGTTTTCAGAGAAGAGACATACAGTACACATTGTACTTCTGACAATTACGATTTTTAACTCCAAGTCGAATTTTATTTGTAATGTTAATAGATGCTGCTCTTTATTGTCTCGGCAGATCTCCTGAAAAGCCAGTATTCTTCTTTCGAATTCACAAGTTATTGATCATCTCAAAAAAATTATCGAACCATCCATAGGTAGTATACGGATCACATTTGTAGTTTGTACAACTTTTTCGTGCCCATCGATCGAATGCCACTGTTCGGAACTTGCAAGACTGCACGGGTGTGCATAGCAAAGAAATTTCCTTTGAGGCTTCCAAATCATGTTTTTTGTTTTTCGCACTAGAGCCCGTTTAACTTATTAATCCATGCGCACGCGCGCGAGCAATTTTCCCCGCGTTAAATGATTGATTTTGTTTCCCCGTTTTCATCGCCATAAATCAAGGCTTGGCGGCTCAAGCGCGTATATCAATACGCAATCAGGCGATAGCTGCTCCGTGTGTATATTTTATTCGACAAGGCGAGCTCGGCTATGGGCGCGCGGAAACAAAGGAAGCGATGACGCGTTCGCGAAGCCCAGCGGTACAATGACCAATCTAGAGTCGCGGTGCAGCTCCGGAGCACATCACCGGCTGGCCAATAATTCATATCATGCGATGCGCTAGCCCGAGCTATCGATTTCAGCGTTCTTTTATATATATAGCTCCCCGGTAGCTTTGCAAAGTCCGGCCTAGAGCTGCATAGCGAGTGTAAAGACGCGAGGGATGCGACTCCACGAGTCGTCCGCGGTGGTTGCGACACCAATTTTCCCAATCCAATCCAAAAGGTGGTAAGTAGGGTTTTTTTTTTTTTTTTTTTTTTTTTTTTATATATCTGACCATCTTGTATCGCGAAGCGGTGAGCTTTTAAGTTGCCGCTCGACGCAAGACGTGTTAAGTTGTTTCTTCAAGTTTGCACTTTTGATGATACACTGAGAGCAAAAAAAAAAAAACAATAAAAATCATAGAAAAATTTCAGCAAAAATTATAAATTACCATTTAGTACAAAAAAAAAAAAAAAAAAAAAAAAACGGTAATTTTTGCTGGAGTTTTTCTATGATTTTTATTGTTTTTTTTTTCTTGGTGTAGATGTGTTTTTCACGGTGACGAACTTTCTTCGTAGCGACCGCAAACCGCGCTCGAACTGCCCTGCTTCACCATAGGTATTATTGTTTTTTTCCCGCCCACCTGATGATTTAACCATCTGCAAAAGAAAAAAAAAGTCCTGTTTTTTCCTGTTTCACTTGAATAAAGAAAAAAAAAAACAACAACATCCCGCGCCAAATAAATTCGATTCGTATGGTGGCTATTATATTCGGTGATTATACGTTTCGCATAACAATAGGCAGAGGGTACTTGAGTTTATTTCCTCCCGCCCGGACGTGCCGAAAATTGAGGGAAAAAGCACTCGACTCCGGGAATGCACATCCTCCTCCACCACTGGCGCCGTAAGACATTTGATATTCAAAAACCGTATAGACCAGGACACGTGTCCTCTGTATAAATGTACGCTTAATTGCACGTTTTGAAAATCGTGAAAAAAAAAAAAAAAAAAAAAAAATCACCAATGCATTTTACAGCCATTTACGCACGGATGCGTCGTGCGTTTGCGTAAAAAAAAAAAAAACCACACTTGTCCCCAACGGTGGTCGATGTATTACAAGTAGTGTCGGGGCGCCGATCGAAATTACAAATGCAGCCCACAGATCTGCCGAAAATAAACGACCCGCGCTCCCCGGCGGTCCTTTTTTCCCCTTAGGCTCGGAGAGCGGCCGCGCCGAGAGCGGGGACAACAGCGAGGACGAGGGCCCGCCGACCGAAACGCCCGGCGCCGAGGGGACGACAACTCCGCCGCTGGCCGGACAGGGCGCGCCTACCAACCCTAGCAACGCGGCCCAAGGAGGCGCCGGGAGCAAGGCCCGCCGGCGCAGGACCGCCTTCACGTCCGAGCAGCTGCTCGAGCTCGAGAGGGAGTTCCACGCCAAGAAGTACCTCAGCCTCACCGAGAGGTCCCACATAGCCCACTCCCTCAAACTGTCCGAGGTGCAGGTACGTACCTATATTACATACGCCCATTTCTGTCGCTTGACCGTATTCCAAGCCAACGGTGTGTTTGCATCTGTGATGGGGGTCCAGGTGAAAATCTGGTTTCAAAACCGGCGGGCCAAGTGGAAGCGGGTGAAGGCCGGGCTGACCGGCGGTGGCCCGAGCAACCCGGCCGGGCGCCACAACGGAAGCAGCACCGGCGGCGGTGGTGGCAGCGGTGGACAGCAGTCGTCGGGGGGTAGTGGTGGCTCGAGGATAGTAGTGCCGATTCCCGTGCACGTGAGCCGATTGGCGGTGCGCTCGCACCACCACCACCTCGAGAAGTGCCCGCAGCCGGCCATCAACGGCGGGCCCGCGCTCAACCTGACGGCCCGGGTGCCGAGCGCTCCCACCGGCGCCTCCCTCACGTTGGGCTCACCGGGTGGGCTGAGGGCCTTCAGCGTGCCCCGACCGTCCAGCACCAGCTCGGCCAGGTAGTCCATCGAGTAGTGCGCAACAACGACGCTACACCCCAAGTAAATCGTTGTACCGTGTGATGTTACAACTATATACTCGCGCGGGGCTGAGTCCCATCGGTGGCCGATGCATGGGGTCGTTCGAGAATTATTTTTTTTTCTCGCTAGGCAGAGACGGTGAATATTGTACAGACGCACGGAATCGCCGGAGTTGAGTACTTGATAGCGTTTCGAATGAATTAATGGACAAATCTTGTACACCTATCCCGCTGAGACTCGAGAGATTCGGGGGAGTTGCGAGGGAGCGAGAGACGCGGGGTATGAACGCAAAGGGTGAATTATGAATACATATTTGCCGGAGAAAGAGTCGCCCGCGTCTCCCTCTCTCGCCCGTGCGATCGTGTGCGTATAGATATATACACGTATATGGCTGGTGGTGCGAGTGTCCCCCAACCGCATGAGCCGCCCTATTACGTTCCACGAGGAGCGAGCACACGACACACTGCTATAGTTATATTGTACTTTGATTTAATCTTTGTGATCCCATGGTTGCCGAGATTATTCCTTGTACGTTATACGGAGGAAAATTATTTTATCAACTATAACAGCTCAAGTTGAAATTGTTTAATCGACTCATTTTTTGTACTACCGAGGCAGCCCAAGTATAGATTTAAACGGTCTCGGTGCTTTTGTATTTATATCCATCGATTTCTTCGCATTACCGCACACCAAACGACTCCAAATCGTACAGCGTTTATTATTATCATTTTCCTCTTAATACGATGGTTCATTAGAATAAATTGCTCTTTTATACCGTCAAACTGAGAGTAGGTATTTACTCATTTACACATATTTATTTTTAATTGCCATCCAAGATTTTTATCGCAATTGGAGACAAACGTGGATAATCGAGATTACGTCCTTTTTTTCACACTTGCAGTCTCCACCAAATTATGCATTACAGATAATTGTTAAGTTTTTTTTTTTTTTCCATCGATTTGTATAAATAAATAATCAAAGCTGTTTCCTGTTGCTAGATTTACTATCGTATACTTTTCATCACGTGTACCAATAATAATCAACCATCAGCCTGTACTATATAAATAGCGTAATGAACGAAAAATGACTACATGTATATAGTATAAAAGTGTGATCCGATTAAACACTTATAAATAGGTTCCTACCTACTATCTTGTAAATTCGTTGTAAATATTAAACAACAATTATACATCTATGAATTACTTTGCCAAATCACATTAATAGTCACACGAGATTTATACTACTCGACGATTTCTCTCCTTTTTTTTTCTTTCACAATAGCTTCGTACGACCAATAATATTGAAATAAATCGCGTAAATACCAAATAAAAGACAGAGTCGTACAATACCGTGATAATATAACTTTGATGTACATAACGTAATTATAATGTACTTTTAGAAATAATTGATACACCGAATGTATATAAATATAATAATAATCGAACGAAAAAAGACGATCAGGCGATCGCACACTTACCTATACATGGGTATACCATTGATTTATATGTATATAGTATATGTAACGCGTAAAAAATCGAAATAAGACTCCGGTGGTGTGCACAAAAGAGAGAAAAAAATGCGATTGCGAATTGTCGTCGAACGCAACATGTTGTACGCAATGGGCGTACAGCTAATGCGTGAAAAAAAAAGGAGCAATCGATAAGCAAAGCGAGTATTATTACTACGATAATCGTTGTGTAAGTATGTTGAAAATGCAATAAAACATGTTACATATTATGACCGTGTCCATTATTATTATTATTATGATAATTGGGTAATACATAATTATTCATCACTGAATCTTTATTAGACCGCACCGATGTATTTTTACAAACCAAATTTTATTTTATATCAACGATTTGATAAATTAAAATTAAAAAAAAAAAAAAAAAAAAGATTCCTTAAAAAAATGCAGGCAACGATCGATAGCGAAAATAATCTCCGACACGTCAAATGGGTCCTCGATTTTTCGTGAATAATGGAGTGAAAAATTCACGCCTCCCAACGCACCTCGACAACAGAGGGATACAAACATGTTGGTAGGTATATAGGTAAGAGATCCAAGTAGGCTGTGCATCATGTTTGAGGCTGCAGGGGCCCCGAGAGTTGTAAAGAAATCGACAGGCAAGGGAGGACCGGCACACACTCCAACTCCACGTACAGGAAGGAAGGTATATTATCTACTTACACACCAACTTATGCTCACTCGAACAAATGAAAGCAACGGAAGATACATCACGGACGACAAACGGCAAATGGACGGGCAAAAGGCGTGAACGCGTTGTGTGTGCCATCATCCTCAAAAGGTATGATCTATTTTGACAATATTCGTCGGCTCATCGCACGATCGCACAATGCATGTAGGTACAGGAAAAAAAAAAAAAAAAAAACCAGGCGAGTATCCTCTCCATTTTTCAATCTCTTACATTATATATTATATTATGCACACACGTACCTATTACACGGTATAATATAATATATGATGCACAATAGCCGTTGCTCCGACTTTTCAGCTCCCAAACAAGCAAGTACTATAATGATGCTGCTGCTTCCCACCGGGTCTTACACACTATTGTATTGTATTGCCGTCGATGATGCAGATTTGAGGTATTAGGCATATCGACATGCGGATTTTGACTTGTCTATTCTACACGTATACGGACAGGGCAGGAGCCGATTTTCTAAGGGAGCAAGGACCGGGAACACACACTGCACAAGTAAGTAGGTATGCCCTTTAGGTGTATGTATACGCTGACATAAGGCCTCGTACCTCGTGGGCGTGACGCCCATATGGGCACCGTTCGAGTTTGCCGATCCGAACAGTTATATAGGGTGGGTATACACTGCTACGTGTGCGGCTACCTAATGCGCTAACTGCTCTTTTTGGTTCCTCGTCAGCTCGTGCCTACATATGCATGTGATTATATGCGAGCGTATATAGGTACTAGGTATTGTACGGTATACGATATATACGCACACCATTAATGATTAAAATGATACTATATCCCTCGATACGCCTATCAGATGTATTATATAGGTATAACTACGCGTGGGGAAGCTGTTGATGCGTGAAAATCACGGGAATCGGTGTTGCTTCGTACAGTCAATTAAGCTAATGTGCAAAACGAACAAAACAACTCGTCCATTTGCTCGCATAATATATCGTGTGTACCACTTTTATAATTTTCTACCCTGTACTTTTCGACTATTTTTTAAAATTTTTTTTATTTTGGGACATAGTACGTTCTCTTTTAATATACTGGCAGCGAAAAATAATGTACGACAGCAGTGTTGCCGACATCCGAGGACAACGCAATAATGCTCACGCCCGTCGAGACCCTCGATAATATATATACCTAATTTGCGAATATTGGGACGCGCGCATTGTAGGCACATTACGCGTCCCCTGCATGTATATAATATATACACAGCATATTACAATATCGGCACAATGTACCCACTGTTCGTGGCGATGTATAATTATATATAGGTAAAATACACACGCGCACGCTAATTCGCCCCGCAGATACATAACGTGAATTGCACTGTTTCCGAAGGGCGTTTTCGTACGTCGCGCGCGCTTCTCGACCGTATTATCATCCCGCAAATTGCACTTGTGCGTGGGTATATAGGTGTACACACGAAAATTCACAGGTACCTTATACATTGACCATACACGTCGCGAAAAAAAAAAAAAAAAAAAAGACCAGCTGCGAGGAGCATCCGTCGCGTAATTCGGTGGGCGCACGGTATAAGTGGTAGGTATACCCCCGTACAGACCGCCCAGTCGACTGTGCGATTATTATCATGTACTACCTGCTCCTGCGCTTCGCTTCTTTGACTGTCAACAATAAACATTGGTCGAATCGGTTGTGCCTGTACTTACGATCGTTTCCTCTCCCTTTGTGTATATGCAGGCCTTTTCGCGAAAATTGTGTTTCAACCGCAATGAGCTCGATGCCACGCGTCCGCCCTGCCAAGTGTACCTATACTATTTGTGTATAATATATTATAAACATTTTAATAATTTACGCTGGTGCATCATGCATCGTCTATACGTCATTGTATTGGCTTATAATCGTGATTGGCAGGTCCTCGATTTATTTCGCAAGATCTGAAAAATGATTGTTTCAATTGGGAGCATGATCCTTTATCCCGGAGATGATGCAACTGGACATGCATGAGAGTACTTCGCTTATAATTTTTCATCTTTAAATGACCATTTCTTATACAAACGAGCGGTAAAAAATGGCCACACGAGCCATAATTTATATACGTGCCAGTGTGTAACTCGAGATCAAACAACTAGTTTTGACACTTGGTCGTAATTAGTGGATTGTACAAACAGATCTGCCGTACCTTGTACAATAAGTTGTCACCCGTGCTGCAACTAATAAATTTCCAGTAATTAGACCCATGTGCTCCGCGTGAGATTGCGCGAGATGAAAAAACGTGTAGGTACAATTATTGCGTTGTAACAGGCGTTGTATGTTACCCATAGAAACTATACAGACATATATGTACGCCTATGTACATTTATAGTGTGTTGTAAGTGAAGGCACATCGCCCATCGATCGGCGCATGAAAGTTAATGCCTGCGCGTTAGCAACTTTAACGACCGAGAATATAATATGGGCTCATTTGCATGTGTTCGAAGTGCGGATATATATATAGATAAGAGATCCAAGTAGGCTGTGCATCATGTTTGAGGCTGCAGGGGCCCCGAGAGTTGTAAAGAAATCGACAGGCAAGGGAGGACCGGCACACACTCCAACTCCACGTACAGGAAGGAAGGTATATTATCTACTTACACACCAACTTATGCTCACTCGAACNAACTGTTGCCCGTCGCCACACACAACCAATTTCACCCGAACTCGTTACAACATCCGATTAATGCGTTTATTCACAAGTGTGTATATTATACATGTCTATTAGGTGGCACGGATTCAACAAATTAACAGGGGATACTAGGAGAAAAGA